ACATTGCTACAATGGCTGCTAACACAGACTAGAGAGAAGAATCTGTAATATTTAGAATCACTATCATAGAGAGATGAATAAAAGCCAGAGGTCAAATAATACTGTTTTCGTAAACAAAGACCAGGGAATTTATTTTCCTATAAAGTTCCACTTTGATGTCACTTCCTGTTTCATTATGGCTGTGCCAACCAAGTTCAAAAGAAAATATGCCAGTTATGAGACAAAATACGCAAAAGCGTGCATTATATGCCTTTTCTTAAATCTAAAAATGTTTTCTTTTGACCTTTTGTAGTTGAAGGATATGCATGTCACAGGCACTTTAATTTTTTTTGATATTTTATCACAGAGCTCTTTAGATGAACAAAGCCATGAAGATGTGAACAATTTTTTGTTAGTTTCCAGCATTTCATTGTGTTTTATAGTTTGTTCTTGTCAAACAAAAGCCAAAATCTAGGAGAAATTATTCTTAATTTCTAATCCCTCCTCAGCTTTATATGATACAGGTTTATATTCCTGTATTATGTGAACATATATACCTTATATCCCACCTTCTAACCAGCGGCTGCCCTGAAGKGGCAAGAACTAAAAGTGAGCATTTCAGAGAAAAGTTGCCAAGATTTGCTACACGTTCTGATAAAAACAGATGATTTCAAGTGAAATATTGCAACCATCGTACATTTTAAGTGAAATTCCTACAGTAAGGAGGTGTAAAAACAGATTTTTGAACTTCAAGCCTTTTATTTATTTTAACTGTTCTTTTTTAGCCCAACATTTTCTCTTCTATTTAAGGCAGGCAGAACGCTGAAAACAAACAAAGTCAATATTTCCAGCAGAATGTCCCTGCGAGTGCCGTGTTCCTATAAACAACTTCACCCTCCGAGCAAAAACGTGCAGTAATTAAACTCGAGTAGCGGGCCCGTGTCTCGTTCTGGAGATATTCCCACCCATGTGCTGTTTAATGTGGTCTTTGCCGACAAATTAAAAGCGCAACACATCAAATTAAAAGCCCGAGTTTTGTTTGTTGATCTCCTCAGAGGATCACAGTGTCTCCATGAGGAGCGCTTCAGTTGCTGAATGATTATGAGCTTAAAGAGGTAAACAAACCGTCGTCCTCATTAGTGATGGATAAATTATGAAAAATAGTTGACAGCATCTATAAAAGAAATCTGCTGTTTCACCTCTGAGTGTTTCAGTTTTGGCTGCTTTCCAGTCCAAGCTGTTGACTTAAAATAGACATTTGGTATTCAGTGGTACGGTTGTATCCTGAGGACCCCTCCAGTGGAACCAGCGAATGACCCCACAGAGCAACCATTGCAAGGAACAGATCTGTCTATATTTAGATGTTTGACCTATCTGCAAGGAAACAATTCACAGCAGTTCAGTCCARTTGTAACAAGAAGCAGAATGTTAAAATAAATACTCAAATCAATACACTGAAAAAAAAGGATTTTTGGGTGTAGTAACATTTATTTAAATGTTTTTTTAAATTTTACAAAAAAATATCAAAATTTCTAAACTACTAGAATTTACTAAATAAACAATATGCATTATATTATATATCAATATTACTGTACAAAAAAGTAAATGCT